GACGGCTGAAGCGCAGCTCCTTGACTCGCCTAAGCAGATTCGTGTCTCCGTTATGGGAAGACAAAAGAGGTGATGACAAGCTTCCAGAGCGGGACATCGCAGGTGGGAGCCAAACTTCGCAGAGCAGGGCTGCGAACAGCGATGGCAACGCCTGCGAGCTGTAGCGGAGGATGGGGTGGGAGAGTGGGGTTTCAGCTGGGCTTGCCCAGGCTCCCCTTGCCAGCTGCTGGGGCTTGCAGGCCTTGCCCAGATTTGGGAGCTTTGAGACTCAAGGGGATCGTGAAGTGGGAATGGGAAGAGTTGAGACAACCAAGACTTGGGCGAGAAGGGCCAGGCTAGAAGGAACTCCAGAGTATTGGGACTGGTCCTCAGGTGCTGTAAACACATATCTGAGAGCTGAGGCTGTGGGCTAGGGAAATACAGACTTTTTGACTCTAAGTAGCTTAAATTGTCCCAAACTAAGAGTTTGCAGAACTTCTGTGTCCTTTACAGGTGCGGAGGGATCAGTAGATGGGAAGGGAGGCAATGGGGAGTTGCAGGTGTGCTGCTGATAGGGTTGTTCCTGGGGCGAGAAGGACTCTAAATAAAGCTGTGGAAGTGAGAAGACAGAGATTTCTCTCTCGCTGTTGCAGGTTGTTTGACTTGGACCCTGACCTGTTGCCCCTTTTCCAGTACAACTGCAAGCAGTTTGCCAGCCCTCAGGAGTGCCTCTCTGCCCCCGAGTTCCTGGATCACGTCAGGAAGGTAAGAGGGCCTGTGGCAGGGCTGGAGAGCAGCCTCCATGGAGGAGGATGTCCTTAAGCGATGGCTTAGAATTGTGGGGTGTCTGACTGGGGAGTCTCCTCCTGAAATGGTAGCTGCAGGGGGTTACTCATGCTAGCAGAAAGTGCCATTGCCAGGACAAAGTGCCCCACAACAGTGAGGAGGGGATGAGGATGTAGGTTGTGGTGGATAAGAACAACCATGCTGATTTCTGTGCCCTTGTCTGAGAGTGTGAAAGTTGGATGCCCCTTTCTTCTACCATGGAAGTGCCTCAGTGAGCTCACTTCTATCGGAAGACTAAAGCAAGCCTTCTGTTTGGCCACAAGCTGACCAGGAGGTGGCACAGAGCTGGGCAGTGGGCCAGACTCCTCTGGACTCACTACTTTGTAAAGGCTGTTGGTGCAGCTGCAGAACCAGAAGGGCTACGGCATCTCTTGGATAGTCTCTGGCAGGGGGAGTCTGCAATAGACATTTGCCTCCCCCGAAACAGGGAGAGGAACAATGTTGATGTCAGCTGTGGCACCTCATACGTGGACAGAATTACACCCTTTGCTGAACCCTAAAGAGCAGCCACACCTGGGGGCCAAGCACAGCCTTGGTTTGCAGATACCTTCCTAAACTGTCTGGTTCCACCTTTAAACCACTTTGTTGTCTTGTTTGCCTGTCTTTATTCCTTGTAAGAGACTGTTTCAGGGCTCTGATAGCTGCAAGCTTTTTGTTTTCCAGCTTCTGTTTATTGGCAAAGTTAAATCCATTTTTACTTCTGCTGTTTTGCCTTGAGCTGAAATAGCTCTTTGCTTTTGTTGGAGATAATTTCCCTGTTGAAATTACAGAGCACAGTTCTATCACCTCTTGGCTTTGCCAAGCAAACCATGCCCTGGCTTTAATCTTTTCTTCTAATTTGATGTGTCTATTCCCTTCATTCCTCATTAACTCTTCTCTGTCCTGTTTCCATTTGATTCTTCGTGCTCCTGGGAGACTGCGGTGGTATGTGCTTTACTGGAGCAGGTCTCTTGGCTGTACTATCCGCTCCAGCTCCTCAAAATAGAATCATAGAATAGTTTTGGTTGGAAGAGACCTTCAAGATCATTGAGTCCAACCTTTGTCCCAGCCCTGTCAACACCACTAAACCTTGTCCCTCAGAACAACATCTGCCCATCTCTTAAACACCTCCAGGGATGGCGACTCAACCACCTCCCTGGGCAGGCTGTTCCAATGCCTGACAACTGTCTCAGTAAAGAAATTCTTCCTAATATCCAACCTGAACCGCCCCTGGAGTGACTTAAGACCATTTCCCCTTGTCCTATCACTCACCACTAGGGAGAACAGACCAACACTCTCCTCGCTACAGCCTCCTTTCAGGTAGTTGTAGAGAGTGGTAATGTTTCTCCTCAGTCTTCTCCAGGCTAAACAGCCCCAGATCCCTCAGCCGTTCCTTGTATGACAAATACCTTGGCTGTTGGAGTTGGAGTTGCTTTATCTACAATTACACCATCTTGTCAGCTTCTCATTGGAAACTCTAGTCCTGGCAACTTCCAGCGCTCCTCTGCAGTTGTCCTGGGGTCCTGGCTGCTGTAATGACTGCATCAGTGCTAGATCTTAGCCTGTAGCTGCTCTGCTATAGGGCTCTTTACCCACTCTGGGACAGGGAGGTCAGCAGTGCTGCCTACGGTGGCACCTCTGGCAGTGTCCCATGGATGGATGTTGTGCGTGCTGTGGTCAGCATGCCTCACTGATGTCACACACAAAACACACCAGAGCAAAAGAAAGCTCAGAGGGCATCTGCTGGGCTGGGAGGTGGTCAGGCTGGGAAGGGTGAAGTAGAGGGTTGAGACTCTGTTCCTCTGGGAGGGCAGCAGAGCCTTGCTGTTAACGCTGTTCTGCCTTTGTGATCCTGCAGGTGATGCTGGTGATCGATGCTGCTGTGAGCCACCTGGAGAACTTGTCCTGCCTGGAAGAGTATCTGTGCAACCTTGGGAAGAAGCACCAGGCGGTTGGTGTGAAGGTCGAGTCTTTCTCGGTGAGGTGTCCTCTCTTAGCCCACTAGAGCTGTGTTTGTGCAGCCCTGCCTGCAGTCCTTGGCTGTCTCCATCACTCTGTGCCCACCTGCTGGGTTCAGCTGGCTGGAGAGAAAGCTGGTGGCTCAGAGCAGCCCCCAAGCTGCTAATACCGATGTAGTGACGTTGGTCCTCTTCAGAGGCAGCAGGGTCCCTCACCAACCCTGCATCCAATGTATGGGTGCTCCTGGATGGGATTGCTCACAGGTCCATGAGGAGCAGTGCCCTGCGGAGAGACCTGAGAGGTGGTGAGGCAGGTCCTGGGCATCCAGCCTGGGGTCTGATCCACTTTCCTGGCATCAGGGCATCCATTGCTCAGCTCTGCTGATCCGCTGCTATGCCAGGGGACAGGGCTGTCTTCCTGCGTCAGGGAGCCAAGGAGGATGGACTGTACATCTCCCCTTGCGTCCGTGCCTGTTCCTTGCCTGTAGGGCTCACTCACGCTGGGCTGTGGGGTGGGGGCCAGCATAGGGCAGGAGAAGGAGATGGTGTGGGCTGGCTCTGGGTCCTCTCTGAGCAGCCAGTGATGGGGTGGCCTGGTGCAGCTGGTGGAGGATCTGCTGCCCTGCAGTGGGAGAAGTCCAAAAAAGCAGTGAAGCAAGAGAAGGGGCTGCGTGTTGTCCTTCGGTGCTGAACTTGACACCACTCTGTTTGATTTGCAGACTGTTGGTGAGTCCTTACTGTACATGCTGGAGAAATGCCTTGGCACTGCCTTCAGCCCAGACGTGCGGGAGGCTTGGAGCAAACTCTATGGTGCTGTGGTGAAAGCCATGCGACGTGGCTGGGAGACTCTCCCAGAAGGAGACTAGATCCTGCCAACCATCCCCATCTCTGACCGTGCAGTGGTCCTGGGCAGGGGCTGCGCTCACGCCACGCTCTCTGCCTCTCTCCACCTCTGTCTTTCTCTGTGTACCAGCCCATCACTGTGTCCTCCAGTCAAGTGTGCTTCAGGGCTCTCCCAGTGATTCTGCCTTGCTTTGACATGACCATGTCTCTGCCTTTGCTAAGGGCTGGCAGGGTGCATCTCTGCAGCAAAGCCTAACAGTGCCACAGCACAGGTACGCTGCACTGCTCCAAAGTTCCTTTGGGCTTGTTGGAGCACCAACAACCATGTACCTACTCTGGTTTTCAGTTGGTTCGTCTTCCCTTCCTAACCCTACTTAGATGACAGCTGGTATAGGTCTCTCGGGCTTCTTTGCCCAAGATCCTATTTGCTGTGCTCAGGACCTGCCAGGTCTGGCACTGCTCACTCCTTCCACGCTGGTGTGCCCGGTTCAGCTGTGGCAGTGGCAGATTTGGCTCCCTCCAGGGGCAGCAGAGGTGGGAGCTGACTGAGCTGTGTGGCCAACCTCCACAAACCTTGTGAAGAGCTTTTGCCCCTCTCCTTTGGCCAACACTTCACTGCTGCATGAATAATTCTGATGCTCTCTTCTGCCTTGCTTCTCCCCTGGATGGGATCCATGGCTTTTCGTAATGTCAGGTTGGTCACAACTCAGTGTGTTTTCAAGAAGTGGATTCACCTGAAAGGCTCTGTGTTGGTCTGGCCAGTTGGTTTAACCTCACTGCCAGCTGTACTGCAGCAGCAGTGGTAGCTCTTTACTGTTTTGTGTTAAGGAGAATAAAGCAAATACAAGGAAAAAATGTCCTAAAATACAAGCGAAGGTTGCAATCATGTCATGGCAACAGCTTCCAGAAATGATTCTGGTTCTTGGCCAGGGAAAGTGTAGCTGGAATTTCTCTGCTGATGCTGTCAGGACCTGGAGCACTACCCAGCTGCACACAGTGCCCATTGGTAGAGCTCCTCACCCTTTAGTAATCCCTCCCAGACATACCCGAAACACAGCCAGTTCGGAGCAGGGCACCCAGTTAGGTGCGTGCAGCAGTGCTGTGTCAGGACAGGAGTGAGAAAATGGCATCTTGCAGAAGAAATCCCAGGAAACAGCTGAGAGGCAGCACCTGATGGCTTTGGGGGAACTGAACTTGAGCTCTTCAAGTGAGAAGTTGCTGTGGGACAGGCAGAACCATATTTCCAGCAATCGCTACCCCCAAGGCAAGGACATAGAGCACATGTTCAGTTACAGACAGTGCCCTTTTGCTGCTCCTTCTGGGCAGGAGGAGCCCAGCATTGAGGGCTGAGATGGTCCTGTTCTAGAGACATGTTCTTCCTATACTCAGTGGTCCTCCACTCTGGGGTAGGAGAGGGCTGCTTGCCCCTCACAGCTGCAGCTGAGGTCTCTCAGCCCCATGCTGTGGAGAGGATGCTGGGGTGTCCTGTGAGACAGGGCTCTGCTTCCCTTCCACTGGGCCTGGTGGTGGCCATGTGCTTCCAGCAAGCAAGGAGCCCTCCAGCTGTGTTTGGGAGTGGATCTGAGGGATGTTGTGGAACAGGCAGTGAACATGCCCATGTAGGATGCTTTCCTCCCTCTGGGACCAGGCTCCTCTCCTGCAGCCCTACAGTGTGGTGCTGTGATTCCTGGCCCATGGCTCTCTCCATCAGCTGGGTTAGGTGAGGTCCTCCCATTCTCATGCCAGGCAGTGAGGGCTAGAGGGCAGTTGCTAGCTGTGATGGCAAGGTATGGGACAGGAGGGGTTGGGAATGGGGACATCCTCCTTGCCACCCTGTTCTAGGGCATCAGCCTTCAGCATCGCAGGAGGCACCTTGTGGTTCTAAGTAGGCAGCTGTGTGATGGGTGGGGTGTGGGTGTCACTGCCCCAAACCATCCCCACTCCCTCTAGCTTTCCCAGCTCTTTGACGTCTCCTCTTCTGTACCACTTTTGTGTAACTCCCAAGAGAACTGAACTAGTCTGTGTGCCTCTTACACCCCGCTGTACTGTTTAATAAAGAGCAACAGTAAGTCTTAGCTCTTTTTGCTGCCCTATGTTTATTTTAATATAAAAGGCCAAATCAAGCCAAAAAAAAAATAAAAAAGAATGACAGAGAGGGTTTACTGTTTTCTCATTGACTCTAGCTTTGGAGCTATTGGTCACTGGGAGTGCTAAGTGTAGTCCAGCTCTACGGGCATGAGAAGCATCCAGCAGCAGTTGTCTGTCGGGAGATTTTGTGCGCTGTAATTGAATGGGTGAGCAAAAGAGGGACGAGAAAAGGCATTCTGCTGCTGATTGCTCATTATCCTTCAATTTTAATGATCTCTAATGGAATTAGAATCTTAAACAATCAGCCTAAAAAAATTTTCCCTTTTCTGTTGTTCAGCTGCTGCTTTTGTTCTTTGGGATAGCATCGGCTCATCTGCTGCTGGTCACCCTTGGCCTTGCAGCCAAGTCCTACCCAGCTCTGCGCAGTGTCCACCCTGCCAGCTGGACTGCGGCGCTGCTCTAGCAGGAGCAGCTGGTGGGGATGCAGGAGGTCCTGTCTCCTCCGTCCCAGGGCACGCTCTAGCTTTGACATGATGAGTTTCCAGCTCTGAGCAAGTTGGGCACTTGGCACTGAAGGACAGTCCCTAGAGTGGGGAAGCCATCTCATGGTCCCTAATAGCATCTCCTGAGGGTTGGAAATCCCAGCACTGCCACAGGAGAGCATAGTGAGCGTGCTGGGAAAGCTGTGCTGCTCTGCCTTAGGCAACATTTAGGATGGGTCTTGTTCTGCAGGGCACTGGGTGACAGGCTGAAGGGCAAGGAGAGCAGCAGAGATCTGGCCATAAAGAAATCCTCCACATGGTTCATTGCTAAAATAAATGTTCCAGCTCTTCATTGCCTGGAGCACAACTGCGAGCCTCGGAGCTGGCGGTAGGAGCCCAACTCCAGCACTGTGGAGCACCCCCATCTTTGATCCTCCTGTGCCAGCATGAAAGTTTGCCGTGGGTCCCACAAATCACCCCCTGGCCTTGGCTGCTGCCCAGCAGGATGCTCCCGGCACTGCCCACTGTCAGCCAGCACAGCAGGAGACACCATGAGATTGCCTGGCCCTGTCTGCAAGGGATGTTTGTATGTGCAGGCTGTCATTGGGAGCAGGTTTCTGAGGGCTACAGTAGTGGAGGCGCAGAGTGATGTGGCTTCCACAACCTTGTTAGGCTGTGATGAGCTTCCCTGGTGCGAGGACTGGGAGACCCATGAGCTGGGGGCAATTACAGCCCTGACTCACAGCTGGGGCTCCTGCCACAGCTCCCTGGTGCCAGCAAGGCCCTACATTTTGCCCCATTTGCTGCTAATTATGAACTGGGGGAGCGGGGGGCCTCTCTGAGGGTGTGTGATGAAGGGAGTGGGGTTTTTTTAAAGTTTTCCAGTTTTTCACCCGAAGAGAAGCCCCAAGCCCCCTGCTGTGTACCATAAGCTGCACTGGCTGGTCAAGGCTCACACCAGGGCAGCTGTAGTGGGGCTGGCAGAAGGAACCTGCTGAAGCCAGAGGCAAAGCATTCAACTAAGAATTTGGGTATAAAGAGTGTGTTTTTTCGGAAGCAGGAGAGAAGCAAGAGAGTGCTGTCTGCTCAAAACCTAAAGAAAGGCTTCCAAAATGGTGTTTGCCCCCTTCCATGGGACTTGCTGGTGGGCAGTTCAGCTTTGGGAGTATCTGCTCCATCCCCAAATGGACTAGGTCTCCCTGCTACTCCACTCCTTGCTGTGGTCCCAGAGGAGCTTCAGGCTTCTTCCCACTCCCTCCAGGCAGTGTGTGCCCCTCTGGTGGTGTCCTGAGGCAGCCCTGCCTGCAGGGCAAGCACTGGCAGAGGACAGGCAGCAGAAGCACATATCTCTCCTGGGGCTGCAACTCATCCCCAGTGCTGGTGATCATGCCAAGCGCTGTGCCAGCCTTTCTGAGGGGCATAGCAGGGTGCTTCCCCGCACCTATGCCTTTGCTGCTTCAGCCCACTCACTGGGCTTTGCTTCTGTGGGGACTGTGATGGACAAGGAGGTGCCTCAAGGCGGGTAGCTGTCCAAGTGGTCTCCTCACCACTGAAGCCTCTGCAGGACTTCCTCAGGAAGGGTCAAAAGCAGCCCACAGGTGGGCAAAGGTGCTGAGGTGCTTTCACAGGCTCCAGCATCAGGCAGGATGTGCGGGGG